GTACCCTCTCAGGCTTGTGGGGTGGGCGACCAAGCCCCCGAGTCGGCCTGTATTGGAAGACCAGGCTCTGTAGCTCCTGCTGCGTTGGGCCCCGACATTGCTCCTCCTTTGACCATCCTGACTTCTTCCCCCAGCTCTCCTCCCTCCTCTGTGGTTGGGTCGAGCCTCCAGCCCCCAGTGGTGACCACTTCGTCCCCTGATGCGGCTAAGTCTCTCATTGTGACTACTGCGCCTTTTAACCCCCCTCTCTTCCTACAAAGCTTCCTCTCCAGTCACTTCTTTAGAGTGCAGCTTGGTACCCCACACACTCTGCTTCTTTTCAGCAATACGAAGGTGTACCCCAAGGTAGTGTTCTGAGCATTACTCTCTTTTTTCCTGGTTGCCCTCAATGGTCTTCTTTCCTCCCTTGTCTCTGGCAATTTCTCAGCTCTTATGTTGATGATCTTACCATCTGCTGTCAAGGTGATGACTTGCCTTTCCTCCAATGGTGGCTTCAGCTTGCGATTCATGCTGTGTTGTCCTGGGCCACCAGTCATGGCTTAGTTATCGACAACTAAGACTTGTGCTATGACTTTCAGAAACTGGTTGTTTTCGCCTCCCTTTGTCGCTTAGTGGAAAGTCCTATTTTGTATAAAGATTCTGCTAAACTTCTGGGGTCAATCTTTGACACTTGTCTTGGTCAACCCATATCTCTGTTCCTCGAGTGGCTCTTAACTTATTTAAGGTCTTATCCCATACTTCCTGTGCAGCTGATAAGCACATTTTCCTCTCTTTACCTTTCTCTTTCGTGGTGTCTAAACTCGATTATGGCAGTCGTGCTTACTCACCTGCTCCTCCCTCTACTCGTCGTCGTCTTGATGCTCTTCACCATGCTGGGTTATGCCTCTGCTCTGGGGCCTTTCGTTCGATTCCTATCCTAAGCCTGTATGTTTGACCGACATCCTGTCTCTACAGGATCGCTGTGATCGCTGCTGTCTTCACTACTTTGCGTGGTCCCTACAACACCCTCGCTCTCACTTGTATCATACTTTGACCATTACTCCTCCTGTGGGCACCATTTCCTTTCACTACCTACATCTTTCTGTACAGTTGTCTTAATTGCAAGGTTCTCTCTCAGTTTGTTACCAATATTTTTCCTCGTGTCATTCCATCCTTGCCCCCGTGGAGGAGTCCCCTTCCTAAGTTTTGTAAAACCTTGACCCACATGACAAAAGCATTTACTTTTCCTACAGTTCTGAAATGCCTTTTCCTTGCTCACTTTTCTTCACACTCCCACTCCATTTCCGTCTTCACAAATGGGTCTTAAGTCTGCCGGCGATGTACTGTAGGCTACTCCGTTGTATTTTCTTACTACACCTGTGTGTTGCCTGCCCCTCGGAGACTAGCATCTTCATGGCAGAAATTTATAAAAAATTTTATACTCTTCCTCAACTGCTTTCTTGCTGTCAATCTTCATTTGCTGTTGTAGTTGACTCTTGCAGTGCCCTCATGACTCTGGAGTTCTTTAATCCAGTCCATCCTGTGGTAGTCAAAATTCAACATTGGATGTTTATCTCCAGCAGATTCAAGACAGAGTTTTACTGGGTTCCCAGCCATATTGGTGTGTCCTTAAATGAGTGTGCGGGTGCTGCTGCTAAGGAGGCTTTCCGCACATATCCCATTTCCCGCAAAAGTGTTCCTTATTTAGACTTCTACAGCATAAAGGGCCTGACAGCCGAGAGGACAGCACTTCGGATTCCTAGTCCTGAGGTTCCGGGTTCGATCCCCGGTGGAGGCGGAAACAAATGCGGGCAGAGTTTCTTTCACCCTGATGCCCCTGTTACGCAGCAGTAAATAGGTACCGGGAAGTTAGACAGCAGCTACGGGCTGCTTCCTGGAGGTGTGTAACAAAAAGGCCTGGTCGAGGACCGGGCCACGGGGTTATCTTGAGGTGATTTCGTGGTTTTAGTGTCCCCGCGGCCCGGTCCTCGACCAGGCCTCCACCCCCAGGAAGCAGCCCGTGACAGCTGACTAACACCCAGGTACCTATTTTACTGCTAGGTAACAGGGGCATAGGGTGAAAAACTCTGCCCATTGTTTCTCGCCGGCGCCCGGGATCGAACCCGGGACCACAGGATCACAAGTCCAGTGTGCTGTCCGCTCGGCCAACCGGCTCCCTCCGGGATGCTAAGTCCCGAAATAATCTCAAGATAAGCTCAAGATAACTACCCAGTTATTCATTCCTCATTCCACACCTTCTGTTACTGGTAACAAACTGTTCTCTAAAGGGTAGCATGCTCCGATGGTCTTCCTCCTACCACCGTAACCGGGAAACGACTCTGGCAAAGTTACGTATTGGACCATACATGCTTAACTCGCGGACACTTGATGAAACACCGCTTTGCTCCTTATGCTCCTTTGCTCCTCCTAACTGCATTGACCCTCTTATGGTCGTGCATATCCTTGTTGAATATCTGGACTTCCAGGATTTGTGCACCTTTTGCTTCCCGACCGTCCCTCGCGGGTTACCCGTTCAATAGAGTCCCTGGTAAATCTTTGGTGAAATGATAACTCTGATATTGTTCACCTTACACCCTTTTGTTCTCTATTGGCATCATTAGTGATATTTAGTGCCTTTTGAATATCCCATACACTTGATGGTGCTACATAGTCTCCCCAGCTTGGCACCTTCTTTTGATAATTGCTTAATTTTACTCCCCGAGCCCAGAATGGGGGGGGAGGGGGAGCCAGGCTCTACTTGTGATAACTTGATCCAATATGCTGTTATCTCGCGGCTCGCAGGCCCACATATCCACCACAACCCGGTTGGTCCGGCACTTCTTGCAGGAACTTGTCTAAATGTTTTTTTTTGAAGATATTCACCTTGTTTCGGCAATGTTTCTAATGCTTGCTGGGAGGGTATTGAACTAGCCGTGGACCCCTGATGTTCAGACAGTGCTCTATGAGTGTGCTTGTGGTGCACCTACTCCTAACTGGTCTGTGAACTCTGTCCCAACCTTGTAAGCAAATATGCACATCCCCCTGCTTCAGCGAACTAGCTTGTTCATGGGATCGGGCAAGTAAATCCATCCTGGAAAGCGTGCGTTCCAACCAGATATTTGCCGAATTGAGGTTTATTGAATCAAGATTCCACTGTACTGTAGTTGGCTTAGAGGGAGGACCTTGTTAAATCCAAGTACAGGTTTCATGTCCTCAATAATGGGAATTTTTGTTCTCTTTGATGCATTTGATGTGACGAGAGAGAATATTGAATATAATGAGTGACTTATTGAGGTCTGGGTATGTCACTTTACTCATTTTAGGCATAACATGAACAACATTTGATGAACCCATGATGGGTTATATATTTTCAGATGTTACTCACACTAATGTGCCAGATGCTGTTGCTCAAATTTCTTTGTATTAAATTTTGAATGATAAACAATCCAAGGACTTGGCCAAGTGCCTAAATACCTTGTAATGCATACAATTTTGCCTCTGTAAATAAGGAAAACTGATAAGATTTGCCAGATGGTTATGCTCTTGGCATATTTTGGAGACTTGCAATAAAATCCCAGGTCAGCAGTACTATTGTCGTGATAGGTGCAAGGCCATGCCCAAATTAGAAGTGATTAGTACAATACTAGAAGTGATGATAAATTTGTATAATATTTAACCCATCTTCCAATTCCTCTTTACCCCCCCCCCCCCCCACCACAAAAAAAAGGGGGGCTTCACACTACAGTACATTTATTCTGATATTCATTTGTAATTGACTTCGACATGTATATTGCATTGTAAAATTACAATTATTTTGCTTCAATTGTTACACAATTTAGTGCCATTGTTGTGGCCATGCTGAAACTGTACACAGTTTTGGGTGTCATAGTACAGTACTTAATAAAACTTCTGATTAAACTTTTATAATTTAAAATATCTACTTCTAACTCTGCTGACTCAAAGTTTTGGCAGGGGTTCTTAGTTCATAAATTGAAGAGGAAGACAATGACCTCTAACTCAATATGTAGCTAAAGTAATATATAACTAACAACATAATTCAGTTTTGTGTACCTATCTGTAGATTATACGTATATAATGCCGCTCAGAAATGCTAACATAATCCTAAAGTGATAAATTTTCTTGTTAATTCATCAAAATACGTATTGACTTTTTACTCTAATTTGATTAATGGATTGTAGAAGTAAATATTCTACTGATGTATAGTAGTTGAGATTAGTAATTAAGACATTATTATGCAGTTGTATAATGTGATGGCTTCATGGCCCAATTTCTAATCATTTTTACCCATCTCATCTTATACCTGCTAAAAGTACAAAATATTTCAAAATGTCATTTCTGTACAGCTCTCTACTTTATTACAGAATGAACAACTTTTCAGCTACACCTGTTTAAATTTTCAGCATATTACATGTCTTCTTCTATATACCATTTACTTTCAGCCTAATTACAGAATATTCTCTACTTTTGTATTGACATTTACTTTCAGCCTATCCATAGAATGTACTCTACTATATAGCAGTTTACTTTCAGCCTATGAAGAGAATGTGTCCGCTTTCTTTATAAATTTGTTAAAATTTAATGTTTGTCGTGCCTGCATGCAGCTATTTCTGTTGGCTTATTGTGTGTTATACTTCAGGATAGCCACCAGTGTATTATACGGAACTCGACAGTATTTTGCTACCATATAGTTTAAGCATTTGTTATTTGCTAAGTTTTTTTGCATTATAATTGTTAATAGCATTCAATGTTTAGATAGGTTTGATGTAGCTAGTGATATATGATAGAGTAAATGTATATGTGCTAATATGTTAAGTATTACAGTATATCTAATGCCAAGTTTATTGGGCAAAAGACAAATTATTTGCTTAATATTCATAAATGATTTCATTTCAGTTTGCATTGTTTAGTGTTATTGTGTTGAAATACTGATACATAATTAAGGCAGTACTCTCTGTTCAGTATCTTACAAAGGTAAACATGCATTTAATTTTTGCACTTAGGGTGGCTTCAATCTAGGGGTGATGCATATTGGTGCCCCCGCTTGTGGTATGAATGCTGCTGTGCGGTCATTCGTGCGTAACTGCATCTACCGTGGTGATACTGTGTATGGTATCCATGATGGTATCGATGGTCTAGTGGAAGGCAATGTACGTGTAAACCCTTGTTGTTTCTAAAATATATGACCTTGTATTGAATGATTAAATTGAAAATTAATTATGGAAGTTAAGTTTATTTTTCAGTCTGCCTCTTTTATTAAATTTAGTGCCATCTCTCTTGCTAACAGATACAGGAAATGACCTGGGCAGAAGTGACAGGATGGGTCGGACAAGGCGGAGCCTTTTTGGGCACAAAGCGCACTCTGCCAGAAAAGTATTTTGATCAGGTCAGTTCTCGAGTGAAAAATTATTACTACTGTAAATTTCCATGGGATGAGTATGACAAAAAAGTAAATGTCTTCTCATCTCCCTTCTCTCCTATACTAACACAGTACTGTAGTTTCCGTACGCATTGATTTCTGTCCAGCAATAATGCTCCTTATCTCTTCTTTGACAGTTCAGTCCTCCATCCCTTTTATCTTCCCTCGTGCCTCCTTCCATTTACCCCCTTCTCTGCCTTGTTTATATATATACTGTATTATTTTGTATGTTCTAGTTTGCTACATTATTTCCAAAGTAGTACAGGTAAACTTTGTTTTCCGAGTTTTCAGAGTTATGGTATAAGAGTTGGTTGAATTTTATGATTTTTTTTATTGATCGTATGATTTTCCTTCATGTTTTAAGATACATGATATATACCGGTATGTATAATGCTTTCTAATGAAAACAAAGAAATATGTAGGAAGAAGTATTGTTGCTCTTTTCTGGAGGAGCTGAATGATAGCTCTCTGTAATGAGATGGCGTCACACAAGTTCCATCAACTCTAGGAGTCTATAATAGCCTAGTGGATACTTGAGCCAGATTCTGCCCCCCCCCCCCTCCTCCTCCTCCTCCCACAGGCACAGGGAGCAAGGAGATTGTTATAATCACCCTTACCAAGTAATTGTCTAGAAAGGAAGCAAAGCAAAATAGACAAGTGTAAGGTTCACAGAAAAGAAACAAAGCTGCAAATAACTATGCTAATTATCCATCTAGTAGTCAGGTTAAATTGCCTCCCTAATCATGACAGCACCATCAGGCGCTATCACCTTCCTATCTCCATCCTCAGTCCACATTCCTCAGTCCATCTGATATACAACTATTTGGATCACTCCTCAAGTTGCTGGCCTTTCAGGCTTTAACTATTTCTAGGCAAGTCGAACGTAGAAAGAGAACGCAGATGACACTATAAAAAAAGAAAAAATAATGGAAATGCTTCAGCAGACACGACTTTCTAAGCAAAGAAGGAATAATTTAAACAGGGAGATTGAAAAAATCGAGCAGAAACTGAAACACTTGTATCAGATTGAAGAAAGGCAATTAGAACAGAAAGCAATTCAAGAAATAAAGAAAACACCCAAAATATTTCTTCACATACGCAAAATCAAAAGCAAAAACCACTGACAGTATTGGACCTATTTGCACGAGTGAAGGTTCATACACAGAGGATGACAAAGAAATTGGTGAATTCCTAAAAAAGCAGTACGAGGACATGTTTAGCACTCTAATAAACAGCATGAAATTGGAAGTTCCAGACAACTTATTTATGCATGATATCCAAGCTCCTGTAAATATAACTGATATAAACAAGAGCGTGGCAGATTTTGAAAGAGAAATTGACATGCCCATGCACTTAGCTCCAGGGCCAGATTCATGGAATTCAATATTTATAAAGAAATGCAAAATGCCAGTAGCACAGGCACTCGGTATAGTGTGGAGGAAGAACTTGGACACAGGGGAGATACCAGATGCGCTTAAAGCAGCAGACATTACCTCTCTACACAAGGGAGGGAGGGAGCAAAGCATTGGCAAACAATTATAGACCAGATGCACTATTGTCCCACAATAATAAAAGTATTTGAGAGAGTGATCAGAAGTCAGGTGATCAGTTTCATGGAGACAATTGACCTTCATAATCCAGGCCAACATGGATTTAGAGCGGGAAGATCGTGCTTCTCACAGCTACTTGACCACTACGACAAAGTCACCGAGGCATTAGAAGAAAAACACAATGCAGATGTGGTATACACGGACTTTGCAAAGGCATTCGATAAATGTGACCATGGAGTGATAGCACACAAAATGAGGTCAATGGGAAAACCGATAAAGTAGGACACTGAATACTTCGTTTTCTGTCGAACAGAACACAGTAACAGTCAACCATATAAAATAGTCCAAGCTCAGTTAAAAGCTCTGTACCTCGGTACAGTCCTTGCACCACTGCTTTTCCTTATTCTCATATCAGATATAGATAAAAATAAAAGTCACAGCTTTGTATCATCCTTTGCAGATGATATAAAAATCAGCATGAAAATTACCTCTGCTCAAGACATTGAAAAACTTCAAACAGATATTAATAAAGTTTTCGACTGGGCAACAGAAAATAACATGTTTAACAGTGATAAATTCCAGGTACTTGGGTATGGTAAAAATGAGGACCTTAAACATAATACAGGGTACAAAACAATCAAATGTGCCCGTAGTAGGAAACCAGCATGTAAAGGATTTGGGACTAATGATTTCTGACGACCTAACGTTTAGGTAGACAATTGAGCCACCCTTTTTTTGCCCAATATTTGGAGCCTTCTATTTCTTAGGGTGATGCAATTTATGTAGATACTTTAGTTTAGGATGATGCCTACCTGTCTGTTCAGGCAAGGAACTCGCCTCTGCTCCAGTGTCTTCATATGTCACTTCTGGAGCTGCAGGGGAAATCTCGAGGAGGGTTTGTGGATGCTCTTCAAACCTTCCTCATTTCTGGTTGCATCTACGAAGGGTATTTTGCTCTGACCAGTGACTTCACCTATCCTCTGTTTTAGTTTGAGCTTCCTTGGATGCTTCTTGAGTTTGCTTCTGTGTATCAGAAGCAAATTTGGGAAGTCATGTTTCTGAAGATTTGTCATTCTGCCTTACACTGTCTTCGGCTAGGATGTACATACAATATTTTGGTTCCTTCTGTGGGATCAGTACCTCACTATCTTCATGGACCTGGTTTATTTTGAATTTGGGTCGGCTTCGGCCTTTTGGTTGCAGTGTGAGGTCCCCAATTCTACCTGACCTGTGGACAACTCTCTTTTTCTAAAGGGCTTGGCATGGCTTTTGCCATGCCCAAATGTTGAAGTGGCGAGAAGAGTTGCCGTTCAGGTGTTCTTAAGCATTTGATTATTTTCCACCTCTAGAGGGTTTGTTTGTTTGCTCCAGTTCTGCCCAAAGACATAGGCATGTGGCAGCTCTCCATGGAGCTGTATTTGCTTTTTAGAGCCCAGACCACAGAGGATTACAGGGCCCATGCTCACTTGGCAGCTGTTGTATGCATCTGGGCTGTGGTAAAGCTGTTCTGACCAGCTCTGAAGTGGCCTGGATGTGTGTTGGCTTTGATTGATTGATTGATGAAGAATAAGCCACCCAAAAGGTGGCACAGGCATAAATAGCCAGTAAGTGGTGGTCCTTTTGAGCCGTTACCAGTATCAAGAGCTTATACTGGAGATCTATGGAGGTGCGACTTCACCCTGCGTGACAGGAGATGTCTCCCCGTGTTGGCTTTGGTGCTGGATGTTGCTAACCATTGTTAGTGCCATTCTGACTTTTGCAGCTTTTCCCAAATTGCCTTTCCTCTTCCTCTGGGAGGCAATTGCAGAAATTTTCCTTGTTTATCTAGTGTGTTGGTGGTCCGTGCTTGCTCAAATTTGGCTTGGTCACAGACCCTGTTACCCACCTCCCACTTTTTGTCCCTTCTTTTTCCAAAGGTACCTATTTCTTCAATTCTATCAGCTGGGGCTGCTGTGTTCCAGCCCTTTAATTGGGTTCTTGCATGTAAGAGGGGGGTTTTGTTCCTGCTGCTCAGAGGTGTTCTTCCTGGGGTTAGGGGCCTTATTTGGTGGGTTGGGGTAGGCCTCAAGTGGAGCCTGATTCGCAGGTAGTAGCACCTCCCGGTTTTATTGTTTCTCAGTCAAGTTATTTGGCATTGTGAAGGTGTAATTCTGGTCAGGGATTTTTGCATGAGCCCTTTCATGGTTTCCCCTATTGATAGGACTGTAAGAAGCAGTGTGGCACATTTTGCCAACTCCTGGTCCTACGACTGGTGGACTTTCTGGATTGTGTGTGTGTTCAGTGGTGATGGTCCACCCCACCTTCTCTAATTTCAGGGTCTTGTAATGATTGTCCTTGTATATAAATCACCAGATCCAAATCCTCAGCAGTTTAAAGACCATCTTATGAAAATAGAATACTGCTTAGAAAACCTTGCAAACCCTGCCCTGAACATCATCTTGCTTGGGGATTTCAACTCATGGTATCTAAAATGGAAAAATGTGGCAAATACTGTTATGCCGGAGAGAATCCCATGAAGTGGTCTAAGTGAACAGTCTCGCACACAAATGACCTCTTGCAGATGTGTGACAGATTTGCTTTAAACTAGCAAATAGTAGAACCCACTAGAAAAGATTATCTTAGATCTTATTTTTGCAAACAATGTTGAATTGATTAGGGACATAATGATTACAAATACAGTACAGTGGAACCTCAAATGACGAGCGACTCCAGTTACGAGCATTTTGAGTAACGAGCAAGCCACTTGTAGAAAATTTGTCTCGATTAACGAGCAAATCACATGGTGCTTCCTAGCGTTCCCGCTGGTTCTCGGATACCTCCAACGACAGTATTGTTGTTGTTTCGCAAGACGAGCATTTCATATGATGAGCTCGGTGCCGGAACTGATTAAATTCGTTAATCGAGGCACCACTGTACGTGTTACTCGGATCACAACCTAATCTAAGTTCAGGCAAACATGGGCAATAGACCTGAGCAGCCAGTCTCAAATCCAAGAGGAAGAGAATCCAGCAAATTCAATTACAATAACAAACTGATTAACTGGGAATGAATAAAAAGACCTCGCAGAAATATGCTGGGAAAAACAGCTAGATAATGTAAACTTAAATCAGAGCTTTGAGAAACTAGGCACAGTAGCACTTGAAATGCGTAAGTCACTACCACTATGGAAAAGTAGAAAAAGATGTAAACAGGAATGAGTGGCAGTCCGTCTATAGACGAAAAAAACTAAATAGCAGAACATCTCTAATGATCCACTCTATCCAAACAACGAAAAGAAAGGCTATGCAGAGAAATAGAAATGATTGAGCTGCATCATAAAATCCAGGAGAGGGAGAGACCAAAAGGCCATAAGTGATATAGATAGATAGGAATCCAAAATACTATTACTATGCAAAACGTAGAACAAAAACTACGTCG